TTATTAATAATAGACTCTATATATATAATTACTTTATAATATTCTATAGAAGCGTAATAAGAGTATATATATTATATAGCTTTTATAATTTATAAATTAATATTATAATATTTAAGAGTAATATTTAATATTTTAAAAAGTTATAAATTATATTATATTAGTATATAGCTAATCTAGAAAAAACTCTTTTTCTTATATTTTCTCTAAGATTTAAAGAGTTTTAATAAGTTTTTTTAATATCTATAATTTAGATATAGTATAAATTTAAGAACGAATTCTCGAAGAGAGAAGATAATATTAATTAAGATTTTTAAAGGAGACTTAATTATCGGGCGAAGCCGTAGCGTAGCTAAGACTCTTAGCGTATATAGACTTAATATAAAAACTTAAGAGAGCGATATCCTCGTTTTTCTTCTTACTTCTATAAGAATTAGTCTTACTACGAGATCGATATATATAAATATATATATATCTATTACTAAATTTATATTACTATATAACTCTAAATCTATTTATATTTAATTATATAAGTTCGTCTAATACTTAATACTATATAAGTAGACTAGATACTTAGAGAGAAGAATTTAAATTAGCGTTACGCTTTTAAAAACGTAGTTAAAATACCCTCGCTCGAGGGGGTAGTTCTATATATATTAGCCTTTATCTTCTATTATTATAAAAGAGATCTATACTTTTATAACGATTCTAATAATATTTCGAAGCTAAATATTATTATATAAATAAATATTTTAAAGAGAAAACGACCTTCGAAGTAGTAAAAAAGTGAGATTAAAGAGTAATTTCTTCGAAGTAAATATTACTTAAAATAGCTTATAGCGAAGTCTTACGATATCGAAGTATAGTTAAAAGAAAATTCTATAATCTAGTAGTTCTATATTAAGAAGATTCTATTATTATATCTTAAAGAAATATAGAAAGTTAAGCGAAAAACTAATAAAAAGTATATTCTTTAGAAGAATAATAATCTAAGTTATAATACTTAATTAGCTATAAACTACGTATAGGCGTATAAATAAAAGTATAATATTAAGATACTAGATTATTTAATCTAGTTATCGAATCTAAATTCTATAAAAGTTATATAGAATATTTTAAAGTAAAGAGTTTATTATAAGAAGTGAAAGAATAAGAATAACTTAAAAAGAGTTATTCTCGAGATATAAAAGGATATTTCTCTAGAAGAAATTTAGACTAGGATTAATAAAATATCGAAACGCTATATATAACTTATAAATAATAGTAGTAAGGATATTAAGTTAACTATATGGTGATTTGGTAGTGGTAGAATAGTAGAAATGTAACCAAAATGACCTGGAGAAGCTACGTCTAAATCTGGCCTAGCGTGTCCAATGACTTTTTGCACCCCCTGGTGGCGGACAAAGACGGCTGATCGAACTCCATCATCCTTGTAGAAGGTAGGCACTCCGATACTTGCGTCGTTGATTATCCTACCGCCAGGTGCGCTACTTAGCCTTCTCGAGCACGAGGCTTGTCACGCGAAAACAAAATTCTGGTTCATGGGATGGGGAGGAACGCGTGCCCATGTTGCCAGATTGCCAGATTCGAGAGATTCCGTTCTTAACGGGCCTCGCGGGTGCCAGAAATATCCGCACATCTAAAAATTGAAAAGTCGATGATAATTTCACAATTAAGAGCCCTAGCTGAAGGTTCTTGCAGATAATTGAAGGACCTCATCAATACAAATAGATCGCTCCGCAAAAATTTATCCTTGAAGAGAATAATCATCGAGTTCTCTCAGGCTCTCAACTGACAAGGTGGAGAGACTTCTTGGCGTGTGCGGAAAATTCTGGCACCCGCGAGCGGGCCCACCCCGCCCATCGCTGATAAAGGGAGTATGAAGCCGGCGATAAGTACTATCATCACGGCATCATTTTGTGTAGTGCACTCATAGCGCTCAGTCTATCCCGGAGTGGCATCCAGATTCTCCGTTGTCTTATTCATGCTGCAGCTGTCGAGCATGGTGAGTTTGCGAAGTGTTTCGTTAGGAAAAGACTTTCATACACCTAGCTACTAAAGGTGCGTGTTCCATGTTGTGGTGATTCTAGCGTTCGCCAAAGTGAAGGTAGAAGACAGCAGCAAGGGCGCTGTAACGTATTGCACAAGTAAGATGGTGCCGGATCGTGTTCCCAAGTCCTCTTGACCTTTATCCAGAAAGTGGGAAATACACAGTCCTGATATGTCAGGAAAACTCTTTCCAGATATCAAGTCTTTTTCACAAATACGACGCAAAACCCTCTGGGAGTTGGAGTCATTGACGCATATCGAATCTGCTCGTGGCCGCTGCCAAGGATCTGCATAGATGCGTAGTGTATGGCGCGCCAGGGAGCCTTCAGCAAACACGAATCAGATCGCGGTGGTAGCTGTGGAAGGTGTTGCTTCCGGCTAATCTAGAGTGGATTCCTGTGATGTATCTTACCATCCTAAGCACCAGATAGCATAGGCCGAGTACGAGATTTTAGAAATGCAGCTCTCTACATCTAAAACAACATTGGAACATTATTCGTCGCGAGACCAACTACGAGGTATATCATGTTCTAGACCGGCATTTTGCTTGCGCCGACGATCGACTCAACAATTCTGAACAGTTCCTCACGCCATGCAAAATCAACAGATTGGGACTTACGGCCTAGCGCCAATCCTATATGAACAGTGTTCAAACACCATCTAAAGCTTCGGAGCCGTTTCACCCAAGTTACAGCTCCCCCTACGCACATCTCAGGTGGTTTGCCTAATGATGTTTCAAAACCACGTCTTAGCTTGGCTCGGTGTCAGAGATGGCATCTCACAGTTTGCCAGAACATGGTGCTTTATCTTGAGCTACAAAAGCCACCGGTCGGGAGATTAATTCCACCCAGCGTTAGGAGTAGGCAATTTCAGTCCATGAAATACTGCGCCAGAGTCTTGTGACGCCATACACGGTTCCCTGGACCAGGTCACCTATTCCGTAAGATCGGGTTTCTCCACGGTCGCAGTAGAGCAGATCTCAAGGCTTGTGCAGATCGAGAGAGCAGGTTGCATATTCGACTTTGGATTTTTGGACAAAAGCCCATTTCTGTTGGAAAAACGGGTGTCTGTAGTATACTATGTCTTGGCTTGCTATTCGTTTCAGGGGCGGGACTTCTCGAACCTTTTTGGGTGTGCCTGACATTTGTACCAGTTATAGCTTCATGCCTCCCCAAATATTCTTTCAAGATACTAGGTCCGCTACCAGACTTCATGTCACTTAGTAGTTGGTACTCCCTCAATTGTTTAAATCTCCTAGTCAAGATTTCTCGGGACAACGCCCGATAACCCAGAGTTTTTTTGAAGTTACCTTTCGGCGTGCGTTGAGAATACCATCCACGGACGGACTTATAATTGCATGATCGTTACTTCTCTCCAATCTTTTCATTTTCCATGTAAACCAAACCAGCAACAACATCTGACATATCTTATACCTGCTTAGTAGAGTACAGACCTTGAACTGCTCTGTGAAGTATTTATCAGCCAAAGTAGTTGCCCCAAACAACTGCCCTGAAAACACGTCTTCCACCATCCTCGCCAGTCCACCCAACGAAAGATACCAACTTCGCGTTATTGGACTAAGAGGCAGTGTTCTGCGTGGAGTAGAAATACCACGAGCATACGGTCCCCTCTCGATCAAGCTTGAATGATTATCAAAAGAATTTAGCTGCGACCATCGCGATCACGAGGTTTCCTCAAATAGCTCAAGACCATTACTCTTTTATCGTGGGCCAGGATGGAGCATACAGTGCCGGAACTCAGCGCTGTTACGATGGAGATGAGACTGTTAGTTAGTCTATGTGGATTAAGTGAGAGATTGCTCTTTTGAGCTGCAAAATCTTACGGGCAGCATGTCGATTGATTGGGTTCTGACTTTCACTTCGACTCTCTTTGGCGTGTTGGAGAGTGAGATCTTCCTTCTTTGGCCCGGGCTCGTTGCGAGAGCTCGCTTTGAAAGGTTCCACTTTTTCCTTCACCGCTATGGTACCGGTTCTGAATCTATTCTCCGCCCCCGCAAAGTCCCTACCCATGCCTCAGACTGCCTCAGCCATCGCGCAGTCCTGTGAAAAGGATCCCCAACTTGCTGATCAGGAATAAGGTCTCATACAACTGGATACCTATGCAAGAGTCGCGAAACTCAATTTCCTACTTCTGCATATTGAATCCAAAAAAAATCCGATATTAGCACAAGAACTTTAGAGGACGATTAGGACTGGAGGCCAAGTTCAGGCTTTCGCTCGACCATTTGAGTTTGGCAGAATAACAGGTATCTCAATGATTGCCCTAGATTGACTTTCCATGTGAAGAAGTTTTCAGCCGGCAAAAATAGGTCATTCGTGCCCGGTGCTTTGGCCATGGTTCGACTCGATGCCAGGCCAGCATTTCAGCTTCTCTGCCTGACTCGTATGCTCTGCACTGACGGGCGGAAAGTGGAATAGATTGGCATTACATCGAAAAACTCCTCTTCTTTGAACAACTCGTTCTTCAATGGATGCCTTGGGGTCAAAGGGTCAAAGCTCCAGATTTGTTCGGAAAGAGCAAATGCGACTTGGAGAATCCTGGGATACAATAACTTTAGGCAGTCTCGGCTAGATACTTCTCGAACCTTTAGTAGCATTGGACGCTCACTGGTGATTCCACCAACAATGTCTCCACGGAACGTCACACTGCAGTCTCATCGAATGTTATGTAATGTAATTAATTCTTCCGGAGAATTTATCTCTGAACTATCTGAACTATAACCTAAAGAGTAAGAAATGAGATCTCCCTTCTCATTTGGGTTTTCCCCGCACCAAAACAGAGGACCGAATTAAGCGATCTAACCCTTTTAGTGCTGTCAACCAACGCTCAGACCCCCAAATCGGAACATTCTCGCTTCTAGAAGACGCTATACTATAACCTCTAGCTTAGCGCCAACGTTGATAAACAACTTTATCGACTTACTACACAACATCATGGGCACGGGCATCGGCACCTCACCGGATTACACTGTAGCTGACAGCACGAAAAATGGCCACCACAAGATGCTTAAAGTCCTCCCGACAACACAAGAGTGTCCATGTTAAAGGCGAGCAAGATGTAAATTTATCATTCAATGAGATTGACAGTGGAGTAAACATGGCTGGCTAGCAAGCGCGTGCCATACTCATCTTCCCTCAGAGCATGCTGTCTCCGCTATCAGCGATCCGTCATACCTCTGGCGCTAAAACAAAAAGCCCGCCATGGCTACTAGAAGTAGAGCATGCTGAATCGGTGGTGCTCAGGCCATCTTTACATCTTACGAGGAGACGAGACCGTCAAAGATCTCAGCCGATCCCTCAGAGGCTGCTCTAGCATGGCGGGGAAACCTGAGCTTGGACGCACTTCGAGCTTGGAAGCTGGCATGGATTGTGGCATAAATACGTCCTTCCGTCCTTGTAAAGTCATGTACCAGTGTACAGAGATCGTTCCTCAATTCGCATTCCCAGTCAATCCTAACTCAGGATTCTTCAATATGCGCTCCTCTACACCGAGTCCGCTCGCGGCCTTCATGCTATTTGCGTCCTCTGTCCTCTGTCAGAACCCCACAACTACGACGATCAACCTTGGCTGTTACACCTCAACAGGCATAACTAGCCAAAAGTCGGTGCCCGTTGTCGTCTACACTTCTACTGTGACAGGTATGTTTTAGCTTGGATAATGTCTCCCATTTTTGGCATCGAGGTTGAAGAGCCAAAATACTGTCGAGCATTACGGGGGCCACTCTTTTCTCAAGATCCTTCTTTGCTGACTCCGAGTTCTACCAAGACACAATCACTTCGACCGTAGATATTGCGACGACTGCGACGCTAGCAATCGGGATCCCGGTCAAAACGACCATAGACAAATTGGTACGTATTTCGGACTGATACCTCACAAAAGAATGGGGCAGCATGAATCTTAGGAAAATTCCGGGATCAACAATACCTTTTTGGCTCATGCGGCTCCTGCAGTTGAAAGAAAATGTATTGACCAAAGCCTCTAAATAGAACCCCATAACCTCGACAACCACTCTTCCAGCCAAAACTACGACAGTACTAGTCACCACGGCATTGCCTAAGATTACTGTTACAAAGGTGACATCAACGAGTACAGCGACTACAATTAGGTATGTACATTCACTTCTTCCCCCCCGCCGCAATGTATACATACCCCTACCATAAGCAATATTCCTCAACCAGAAAAAATTTCATAATCTCTAGAAAACTAAGAGTACTGATCTCAACCTTTCAAAAGCACAATCACTCCATCTATCGCCTCGACTGCCACTTGGACAATCACACCACCACCTGTCACCGTAACATCCACCTCGCTAGTCACTGCACTAGGCGCAACGACTACAACAACAATCACACCTGGTTGGGACCGCCTAAAGCGGCATCCAGCACCGACGCCAGCTGCACCCCTTTTCCCCCGAGCCCATGCCATTGACCGCCGAGGGGGCTTCCCGCAGACGGTGTATTGCGGAGTACGTATTGCCCGAGACCCAATTCTTGGCTCTTCAAACTGCAGTCGGAGTCACGGGATTTGTCCTGAGAGCCGGCAGCTCCGCAGGACTATCCCAGGCGCAAACCTTTTTCTTCTATGGGCAATGCTGACTTCGACTTTTTTGATGCAGGCCGAAGTCTACGTTCGTACCACAAAGACGATTACGTCGGTTACGGTAAGTTATCCCTCGCCAGACATACTCATCCCCGGACTTGATTTTGGGCGACATGGTTTTTACCGGTTCACCTTTTAGGTTTCCATGACAGGCAAGACACGCTGACTTGATCAAACAGCACACGGCCGTGAGCTATGCCACTACAACCTCGACCTTTACCGCGACGATCAATGAGGTCGTGAGCACTCAGACAATCACTCCAGTACGTTTACTCCGAGCCCAACCCCCCCCCCCTTTGGCTCCTGAAGTCCAAAGACAAGTACGCCTTGGAGTGTCTACAATGAATTTATCTTCCAAGGCCCATATCATACTTTAAGCCAAGCAACGCTAACTCAAACTTCTACGCAGGCGATCAGCACGATAAGCTCGACCGTCACAGTCGCTTCAACCGTAGTCTCGACCTGCTTCGAGGGTGAAAAGACTACCGTATGTATCCACATCCTCAATCTCTACCCTTCCAGACTCGAGTGACACACAAGCTTTCCTGATCCTTCGCCGCACCCAAGCTCCAGACCACAGACATCCCCTTCCGAACAAGCAAAACTAACTTCTCGATCTCACCAGACAACAACACAGTTCGTGACTCAGACGAAACCTGTTTCCACAGTCACAGTCACCGCCTCTCCCTCGACCGTCACCAGCACCGTCACCAGTACCATCACTTCGCCCCCAAGTAAGTCTTCCCCAGCCCTGCATTTACCCCAGCGGTACCGCATTGAATCGCACAACAACAATCCTCGTCAGGAGACAAACGCCCCGCTCGCTATCTACCAGATACCCCGTCCACCCCAAGACTCTATCATATCCGCCTAGGATGCAAACACTAACCAACGTCTCCAGCAACCATCACAGTCACAGTCATAGCGACGCCGTCTCCGTCCTCCTCCCTCCTCCTCCCTCCTCCTCCTCCTCCTCCCTCCCTCCCTCCCTCCTCCCTCCCTCCTCCTCCTCCTCCTCCTCCTCCTCCTCCTCCTCCTCCTCCTCCTCCTCCTCCTCCTTGTCCTCCCCCCTCCTCCTCGTCCTCCTCCTCCTCCTCCCCACCGTCCGCAGCCACAACCACCGCGGGCTCCCCAACCTGCACGAACACTGAACCCAGCCCGACCTGCTCCGTCGTCTCGAACGGTAAGGTCACATTCACGCAGTATTACTCCGGCACCGGATACACCGAAAACCCCGACAACCCCGGGAATAAATTCCCGGCGGTTTTCCCGCCTTACACCACTACTTTGTGCGTTATAATTTCCCTCTCCTCCTCCTCCTCCTCCTCTCCTTTCCAATCCATGAGCGCACTCTCGTCGTCGTCGTCAGGCATGTTGCGACAGTCGTTGCGGTCGTTGTCTTCCTTGCTGCTGCGGAAGACCCCCCCCCGCCCCCCCCCAGTATCGAATAGTTTCCTTCTTTCATTCCGCCAAACTGACTCCCATCCACACCTCTAGTGACGACGACGACGTGTGCTCGCTGATCCAAACGTGCGCCACCGCGTGCGGCTACGACTATCCCGCCGGGTACGGCAGCTTCGACCTGCACTATTCCTGCTCCGAGGACCAGTGGTACTGCGTACAGTACGCGGACGGGGTGGTTCCCAACCCGGATTATTTCAACGTGGCCGATCCGGACGTGGGGGCTGTGTACGGGTTCACTGGTTAGGTGGGTGAGGGACGGGGGGGGGGTTTAGCGGTCGGTGGTGGATGCAAGAGTGGTGGGTCGTGTTGGTTGTTTGTGCTGTTGAAAATGCTCGCTCTTGGATCGTCATAGTATCTGAGCTACACCTGCCACCCCCCACCTCATGACCTTCCCCCAGTGAACACATCACCCCACCTACAACCTCGCCCCACAACCCCGCAGCACTCCCGCGGCCGGCCACCCTTCCCTAAACATCCAACAGCCCTGCATATGCCGTCCGGAAAGCCGTACACCATCTTTCCCCAAACCACCTCGATAGCATTGACCAATCCATCCACAACGCATTCGAACCCACATTCAAACCCCCCCTTCCCAACCACCTCCATCCACCCACGCACTCACTCCCCACCGCACCACCGCCTCCGCCCCCCGATCGCACTCATTCGAGCCTACATTCAAAAACGCCCCCTCCCAACCACCTCCATCCACCCACCCACTCCCTCCCCACCGCACCCACGCCTCCGCCCCCCAATCGCACTCACCCAGGGCCCCATACTCCAAACCCTCCCGGCACCATCACCACATTCCCACCCTCGACAACGCTATAATCCATCCCATTCCATCCGAATCTCGCCCCGTTCCTCCGACAAAAACCGTGCTCAAGTCTTCAACGCCCACCGTCCCGTCAAAAGTCGACACGGAACCAGCGTCGTGTGGATCGATGGTCCCGCCGCCTCTGTGCAACCAGCGCTGTTGGGCCTGCGTCACCACGCCGTGGATCTGTCTGTTCGGAGAGAGATGGCGACGCGCCGTCACGCGCACGGTGTCACAGCCTCGCGGACGAAGGGCGGAGTCGCGGGACCGAGGAAATTTGGACCTGGATGATGGAAGTTGATCGTGGGATTAGGTAGTTTGGAACGGAGATTTGGGCGAAGTTGGTGGTATATGCTGGCGCTGCGTCAAGAGGCTTGATTGTGATTTCTTTGGCACTGGGATCGGATTAGTAGATAGATGCTTGATTTGAAGGTTGGTGTTTCGTAGGTATCTACCGGTGGGTTTACAAGTTATAAGATGGGATTGACTATCCATCGGGTTCTTATCGTCACCGTGTGGCCGAGCTTCCAAGTGCGAGTGGCTGCATGGGCGGATCTCTGCCGTCCGTAGCGACGTTTGAACGGTATCTCGGTTGGCGGTGGATGGCTCAGGGTCGCGGAACGGCTGGGCGATAGTTAAAGTATTTGGGTTTGAGGCCGGAACTGGATCGACCACTTGATTATGAACCTTCCACTGATTAAATACCATATGTACAGAAACCTATCATCAATAACTAGTGGAACGGTTTCAAAAAGCACAACATCAAATTGTCGCCGGGCAAGATGAATGACTCGGAGGCTGTTTCTAGTCATTTCGTAGTATATGTAATAGAACAGTCGTACATGTAATCTCAAAACTCATATCGATAAGGATACGGTGTGAAAAAAAGAGGCTATGGTTCGACACGCTAAGAGACAACACGTGACTCAATCTTACGACGCGAAGGTGCAATAGTCATGAGGTCTCGAATTTCAACAGTGCTGTGAACCTGGTGGGGCGGAAGACTCGCTTGTTTTGGCCACATGAAAGGTCAGAAGTTGCATGTCAGGACTATCAGTTGAACCAGTCGGGACAGTTGGTTTCCAGAACGTAGCTGTTCCAACTACCAACCGTCAGACCTCCAACAGCATCATTACCCGCTAGAAACCGATGGTTTAATTGATAGTGGAGCAGTTATTTGATGTATCAGCGCCTTCACTAATCCCGGCGTCGAGGGGTTTTTGAATCATGGCGTCCTTGGAACTCCTTCCGTAGACTCTGCTCATGAAGAGCTGTTCCTCAAAAGCCAACGGACGATGTTCGATGTCTTCCTGACTCCGAGAACTTTCGGAGCTATACCGGTGATCGATCGTGGTAGACATAGAGGAGGCCGCAGGTGAGTCGATCGTGGAAGCGCTTTTATCAAATTCTTGGATCTGCTCTTTTGATTCTTGCAGCAATTGTCCCGTTATTCGCTATGCAAGACTGCAGTACGTTAGCGCAAGAGCTGAACCAGTCTCAGTCGGCAGTACACATGTGGTCAGGAAAGCGGCCAGAGCGAAGGAGTATTCCGCGTCGGCCTGCTTTCGTACTCGAACAATTCGTGGACAATTAGTCGAACAATGCGCATTGACTGGTCTGAAATATTTATTGGAGTCGATGTGTTCAAGAAGTTATGCCAATACGATGGTCTATCCTAGCAACGGCTGCCTTAGGACACGAGAGAGAGGCCAAAAAAACATATGAGTATGACTTTGAGTGAGGCTTTAATGGGATGAAGGTCACTTATAGGTCCAGGCTCAAAGCCTTAAGAAGGAGGCTCATAGATGCTTATTGGCTGACGCAGCTTTAAAAATCTTCCAGGGTATTTCCAAGAGTTTTAATGATCATCTCTAGAGCTTTGAGCAATTGTCGCAATCGCTCAACGAAACCGTCGTCATCCACACCACCATCCGATTCGTATGCCTGAGACCATTTCTTTATCCGGGACCAAGCCAGCTGTATGTTGTCCAAGCTTGAGGCAATCGACGTAGCCGTGAGCTGAGCGTTTTCAGACGTCCCTAATACGAGTTGAACATCCGCGGATCCGGACGGCGACGATTGCGAGCCAAAGGACTTTCCACAGTTATCAGGACTTCGAATGTGCCCGCGGTTAGGCGCGAGGGGCTCCGAAGCTGATGATGCCGACGAGTTTGCAATACTCCCGTAGATTTGACCTGGAGTTACCTCATATCCGCCGTTTGGCAATCCACCCACAACTAATGATTTGATGTGCTCGATAATTTCCTCTTTGTTGGACATGATGTGAGCCATTGAGACGTCCTCAGCCAGAAGTTCGGTCTTAAAGATCATCCAAACATCATCTTCGTGAGTTTCAATCTGCGAAAGCAAAGACGTGGTGGACGCCACAGAAACAAACCTCTGTTGAGCTCGAGCGCCATCGTCTTGGAGGATCCGAGCCTAGGTTTTATGAAGCTGCGTCTCGATACGAGCAACTGCTGATCCTTCCAAGCTGAGGAGGAACATACTGATCGTGGAGGCATAAAAGGTCAACTTGCCCCGAAGGGAATCCAGATCACTCGAGCCGACTTGCTATGCGTCCCAGATTCGAGTGAATTTACCATGATCATCGTTGAGACTGCTGTGTTTGTCTATCATGCCTTAAAGTTCTTGCATCGTCGTTCTGCAGTTTCTGATGATACCAACAAGCTCAGGCTTTCTCTTCACGCCTTTTTTGTTCAAGAGAGAATGGGGATATTTGGCATCATCAGACAGGCTATTGATCGCGTATCGCATGGATCGTACCTCTCTCGATATCTCTTTGGTACTCTTCTGGTCCATCTTTGCATGCTTCGTAGACACCTTTAGCAATGTTTGAGGCTGCTAGAAAGTCACCGACACCGAAACCAAAAGACATTACAGCAAGAAGCGTTGTTTATTGAGAATGAGCGTCTCCGATAAGCAAAGTGGACAAATCTCAAAGGATGAGGAATTGTCTACGGGGTCCTTGGAGGCTGAAGTGGGGGCAGTTGCGGCTCAAGCCCCAATATCAGTGAGCCTTGACGCTGGCATTACAAATGGGTTCATGGTGCTTGAGTTACTCATTCAAATTGACCTATTTCGAGTATCCCACGACTCATAACATTGCCTACATTCACCGAGGGTGTATGTCGACGTTGTCAGAAAGAGGTGATTCTAATAATTGTTGACGATAGACAGCCGTGACATCTCGTTGCATTTGTATGTAACTGCTCTTGATATATAATGGCAGCCATTATGTATACAGCCCCAGTCTATCAGGCGTACAGCCCCAGTACGTGGATAAGCGGTGGGTTGTTCTTTGCGATTCATCGTGAAAACCTGCCTACAACAATAGAGTAAGGTAGTTTCAGTACTCAGACTCTATTCGGAAGGGTTGGTGGTAGTGATAGGTCGGAAAAACCTTTTTTCCGGGCCGAAATTTCGTCATACCCTTCCCTTAGAGTCTGAGTAGGAAACCCTGGAATCGCTACATTGACCGTTATTTTGTATGGGATCCTCACCAAAATTGACCGAAATAGAAAATAAATAGTTTCTTTTAAATATAACTTTTTATTAAGAATTCTAATAAAAAAATAATCTTTTATAAAATAACTATTTAAATATCGTAGAATTAGATTTTTTTTTTCGATTTTTAATAAAATAGCTTAATTAATTATTTTTGAAAGATTTAAATTAGAGTTTTAAAAATTATATTTTTAACCCCCCTCTTATTTTTTAACGTGCACCGGCAAAACTCTAAAAATAATATCAAAATACTCGTTATATTTATAAGTCTATTTAAGAATATTATTATAGAATTCTCTGGGCCAGATTTTACACATTAATATTTCTTATATTTTTATCTAAAATTTATTTATCTAAGCTATTATCTTAAATAATTTATTAAATAATTTATAATTTTAAATTATTATTTAATAATTTATAGATATAAGTAAAGATATATAAAGTTTTATTAATATTATTTTTTAATTTATCTAATTATTTAAAGATTTTAAGATTTTTAGAAAAAAAATTAAAAAGCTTAATAACTTTAAAGACTTCGAACTTCAAATTTAGAAAATTTATTATATTATTATTATATATATTAAGAATATATTTATAAATTTTTATAAAAAGTGATGGTTCGGTTATCGAGTAATAATATATCGAAGTTATAGATTATTAAGTCTTTAAAATAGTTTCGGGGTAGCTTCGGGGTAGCTCGCTCCGGGGCAAAGCTACCCCGGAACTTACTAATGCTGATATATACCCAGGGGTAAATATCTCATATCAGTCAAACCACCAAAAAAACGAGGCTTGGCAGGGTTTCCTACTCAGACCCACTGCGTGGGGCCTTTTCTGAGACTAAGAGTAAGGTAGTTCTGAGGGCGAAGCACTGCGGCATGACTCGCTAGCGTGGCTGATCTTTGCTGTTTGCACACCAACTTCAAAGCTAAGGCAACCCCGCGAATCCGCCCACGAACACGCCCCAAGGTAAAGTATAGAGCATCTACATACCCTAGCATCACATACTCACGCACATTCATCATCTGAACAATCCTCATCCTCTTCAACTCTGTACTTCTTCTCCACTCCGAACGAAAGCATTCTGAGGATGCGATAAGACCTCGGCATGTCTACTCTCAGCTTCCACAACTTCTCCTGGAAAGGCGACCCCAAATGGTGGAACGCCTCCAGCTGGACTGGCTACGGCCCCATCGTCGTCTGCGTCATCTTCGCAATAGCTATCGTACAAGTCGTGTGCGGTTCCATCTGGATAGTCCAGCTAGGTAATCATTTGACAGTGTACGCTCTGCTCCGCTTCACCAATCGAATGTTCGAGCCCCTCCCGTACCATCATTACGCTGAAACAATCACAGGCCAATGATCATACAAACATTACTCATACCAGGCTGTTCCTTCTTCAATGCCATCCCTTCCATCCATCTACACATGCTGCTCCGCAACAATCCTCCTAAAATGGCCATCTGGTTCTCCTCCATCTTCGTCATCCTCTACCTCTGCTCCGCGATCCTCTCCCTCGCCGCCTGCGCCGGCTCATCCCCCACCGGCATCCCTCACGGCCTGCGCCGCGCCGAATGTCCTCAGGGCACCCCTGGCGGCCCGGAGCATGGTGTTAGTAAAGCGGTCTGGGATACGATGGTCGTGTTTCAATTCTTCTCGGTGGTAGGCTACGGGTTACATGGTAGTATGGCGTATAAGGTGCATAGGGTACTGAAGGGGCGGAGGGAAAGAGGCGAGATAGAAGCACTGGATCCGGAACAGGAGGAGGCGAGGAGGCAGAAAGCTAGGGATCTGTGGCAGAAAAACTATCGAATGGAAGGTCTATAGACGGGTTGCCCGTGGGAGAAGAATGGATCTGGATGGTGGGATCTTGGATCTTTGGTGTTTGAAGTACAGGTTGGGACGATCATGAATGGCAATTTTGAGAGGCGGTAACATATTTTGTAAACTAAGTCGAAGGCCGAAATACCTACAGCCCCCACTGCCACAGAGAGCGTGGTACGTCGACGAACATGGCTCGAACGAGGAATTCTAAATGCCAACCCAGACAGGGAGTGGTCATGGAAGCATGGGCAGTTTGGGCGTTGGCGCTTCTTTCCTCACTGGAGCTGCATTCAGTTGGAGCATCATGAGCTGAATAGGTGAGAGGAACTAGTTGATCTCAATAAGCCAACACTGGAACCCCACAGGCTAGTCTTCTTCTTCTTCAGTTCTTGGGTGATATCCTCCAATAGAAGGGCAAGTTCTTTGCTAAGTCTCTTCGCTACCATACCAACATCGTCTGGTATTGCCTTGCGCTGTGTGTCTCCTCGGTTATGACAAGCTCGGCGCATATGTTGTACAACTGGACAGAAACCGCGAATCGCTTATGAAGGGAGCTCGGTCTGACTAACCTGGATGTATCCCGAGATGGTCATGAAGATAGAGAGTTTCATGTTCTGTCCCATTCTGTTGTTGTGAAATCCGGATTTTATAGTACATCACCACGTGCGCGATGCTACGCTCACCTGCTTCCTTTCCAAGAGCTGTCTGAATCGACAGCAACACCACCCACCACAAAATCCGATCCAACACAGCCACAGCCCCGGAAGCACCACCAAACCTCCCACACTTCCCCGAGCAATCACCGCTACGCGTCCCCCCTACTCCTCATCCTCGTTTCGACACGTTTCACATCTCCAATTCACGGCGATCAAGCACGCATGGCTCACGAAATCTTGGCAACATGACAATCTCCACAAGATCCCTTCGATCCGCCTCGCATTATTCCTCCCTGATTACCCTCTTCAGACGCGCACGAATCCACACCGACCTCTCCGCCCACGGATGGAATGTCCGCTTCACGGCCAAAACCAGCCTGATGCCCTCTAACTGGTCCCGCCGCCCTCTCCCTCGAACAGTCTCATCAACTTGTCCTCGTATAACGACCCTCCATGACCCCCCAAGGGTTAGAGAGGGAGCCCCGTCACCGTGGGTCCATTACTAAATCTCGGGCTAATGACGCCGACCTTCAAAACCACTACTGGGAAAATCAACAATGGAATTGATAACTTGCTGGAGGCCGTGCCGACGCTGTAAGATACCTGTAGTAGAGTGCGGGAGACGGCGTTCAGCTTCAGCGTAGTGGACCAGTCCGACGATGGATCCGACGATTGATATTTGTCGCGGTGCTGGCGGGGAGCGATACGGCTTCGAGGGCTTCACCTACGCCTGGGCCGCTTGAGAGGGCGAGGATTGGATGGTGCGGGAAGTCGAGTTGGATGTCGGCATCCTGGCCAGAACGAGCTTCTGCCCGCGCATTAATTTATTTGTTCGGATTCTGAGAAGCTCGCTCTGAATACTCGACGGCTATGAATGCTGTGTGATTATTTACGTGTCGATGCGTCATGCTTGTCGTGAGTTGTGGCCGAATTTCATGATAATGATTACTGGTCGCAGATCCAATTCCTCAGATACACTCCACGAGACCGGGCACTGCGCGCTTTCAAAAACCACGGTCGAAAAAGATAATGGATCTGTTCTCCCAATATTAAATGATACTACCTCCTCGAACCCGAAGCCGCCCCTTTCATCCAGCTCTCCCAGCATGCCACCGCCGTACTGCAGCCCTCAAACGAAACCCAGGTACCTATCTAGTAGTTCACCGCCACTTCAACACGATCCCTTCGAGTTTCACCGCCCTGCCTGTCTCGTGGTCTCATATTCTGAAGAAGCAGGGGGGGCCTGCGGCTGGTGTTGCAGTGGCGATAGCGATGGTAGATGACGCTTGCGTATATAAGGGTGGCGATGTGGGAGAGACTGCTCGCGAGGACTGTCAACAGGGATCGATGTTGGCAAGCAAAATCTCATGTTTTTTTCAAAAAAAGATTTGGCGGTTGAGGAAGGGAGAGAGGAAGGAAGGGATGGGGAAACTGGACTCACAGCGTCAGGGCGGCAGCAAGGACATAGCGAGTCCAGCCATCCACGGGTTGGAGTTGATACTCGCTGCTGTTTATCAGGGAGGTTTCCGCCGCTTGGTTATAGATTGTGACGACGATGAAGTATGTGGACCAGAAGAGCGTCTTTGCGGTCTGGAAGATCAGGTAGGTCAGGGGTTGGAGATTGCGTTTGGCGTAGAGGAGGATTTCCGTGAGGGTGAGGACAAAGGTCGTGATGCAGAAGAGGACGTATACGACATCGATGCTATTGGGAAGGTTAGTTCGTGAGCGTTGGTTTCTAGAATGTAGGAGAGGTCTGGGTACGGTGTGAGCGGTGGAGAGGCCGCTATGCTGAAGACGAGCCAGCCGAATATGGCGGCTGTTAGGAGGCTCTGGAAGATCCATAGAGGGATCAGAATGTGTTTTCGCCATGGTGAACGGCGTGGTGGTGCCATTGAGGTGTTCGATGAGGATGGTGGAGGGGAAGAGTGCATTGGACGGGGAGAAATGGAAAGCAAGAGGCCCAATAATCGTTGGTATTGTTTCCGATATCTGTCTTTTTGAGACAGGAGACTGCTCTCGCCGAAAGGAGATGTCTCAACTTGTTCCAAGACATAGCCAAAATGGGTGAGTCAACCGAAAGCGAAGGGTTTGATGAGCAAAACGGGACATGGATTGGATATGTTTGAAGCCACAACACCTTCAAAGTATTGCTTTCCGATCCACGAAATATTATGGTCGGAGACGGCAAAAACAAACGGTACCAAGAGTGCAGACCCTGGGGATTGGTCAGTTTGCGGTGCTCTCAAGCTTCATGCCCTGCAGCGTTGAGAAATCTAGACATAGAGATTTCATGACCTATGTGTTAGATATTGAAACACTGGGTAGGCACGAGCTTATTACCCAAAACACCATTGGTTTCAGCGACGATGGCGGCGCATTTGATCAGGACTCTAGTATAGGATGATGGAGTTGCACTCAACTGTTGATGTACTCCAACAAGTCTTGCGCCGAACTGAGCTCAGCCGTAGGCTTCGCGAGTAGTCTCTTTGTAGCTTCAAAGGGGTTCTGTGCATCGCCGAAAAAGCGCTTGGTATGTCTTGACTCCGCCTCCACTCGAGCATCCGAGTAGTCCTTCGCTAAGTCGCCTTTTATACTAAGCCCATCATCAGCTAGACTCACACGAAACTTTATTTGACAGGTTATGCAGGCCACTTACCGTGCATGTAAACGACTGCTCTTTTGGTGCTCCACATTGCGTGCGGAACGCTGTGAGACATATCTCTGTATGAAGCATAAGTTGAAATGCATCGTTCCGGTAACTATAAGCACACCTTACGTATTCGCATCTCCAACCATGAAGACTCCAGGCACGCTTGACTCCATATTATCATCCACCTGGACCGTAGCATCAATCTCGTTACTCAGCTTCAAATTCAACTTCGTCGGAAGATCCGAAGGCAGTCCTGCAGGGAAAGCCCTTTTGATACCATTCCGTTCAATGCTTTCTTCATCTGTTAAAGTGATCCTGAAGTCATCATCGTGGTCTGCTGTGGAGCGGTCTTTGCACGAGGCTGCCAATCGCGGCTACCATGAAATTGTCCGACTGCTTTTGGCTCACAGCGCCAAAGGAAAATACAGGAGCCTTTGGGTTCCATTTCGTGTCGCAAGCAGAGGTGGTTATGAGCCTACACCCAATACGGTAGGCCCGGACGTGGGAATAGCGTCTGAGGACTGAGGCAAGCTGGTGGGGACAGCGCTAGAGGTATCTGCAGCTCTGGATAGTAGAAGGGAGATCAGGGCGATGCGTCTTTCACGGGGTGGAGACCCTGGCGTGCTTTGTTATGGAGCCTGAAAGGAAATCGAACAATGGTCTTGTCCTTTGAGGAAACAACCTGTAAGCATCGACACAAAGAAGGTTGGCAATGAACTATGAAGGACAAGCAACGACAATAGCATTGTTTTGTCATCATTGATACCCCTTAACAATGTTACCTCGCAACACCCTTGCCTTTTCACACATAACCATTCTCTGCCTCAAATCACATTTCCTCGCAGGGACTCACAACAGACACGCAGGTTCAAATACCATTTACCACACCCGCATACTCTTCCCTCAGAGGGACTTTTACGCACCATGTATCAATCCTTCCCAAGTATCTATTTCCACCGCTTCAATTGCGGACACTGCGAGTCCTTCCATGGGATCCTCGTGAGTGAAACAGAAACCGTCAACCTGGACGACCCTTGCGCACGCTGCGAACCAAATACCACAGCTGGGCAAGAGAGGCTGGAGGCCATGTGGATCTGGGCCAGTTTGACCATTCCTTATCTAACCGAGGATGGAGACATCATCATGGCGCCCCGTGGATCCAACGGTTTCCCGACTGTGCTAAATATCAGGCAGGAGGGTGACAGGTACGAGGCTAACGTGGTGAGCCAGGATTCTGCGGAGGGTCGAGCTGTTAGATCGATATACGGGATGGATTCGAGGTGCATAGATTGACGAGCGGTGAAGTCTCTTTCAGGTCTTATACCAGCGGAGACACCTGAAGACTGAAGCATTCTTCGATGTTATGGCGTTTGGTTAAAGTGCATAGCCGTAATCTGATTCAGGTTCCCAAGACTCCTCTACTTTGATACCCTGAACCGAGCCTTCCATTTGCGTCCAGCTTTCTGTTACCTTCGACAAGTAAACGCGATTAATGACAAGATATCTGACTCCTGAGTAAGACGCGGATACACTAACAAAGGAATTGCAGGAATGAGTCTTTATAGCTTGGTCCAAACGGTAAGCTTTGAGAGCAACCATCCTCTCAGCACCCTTACTAAAAGAGATATTGACCTGAAAGCGTCGAATATATTCACAATCACGCAGGTTACGTACATCTGTAAGGTATTCTCCGTTATAACGAAGTTGTGGCTACTCTTCCCTGACAAGACGCTTATTCAAGCAGCGATGCTGAGATCTCAAGTCATGATATATTGATTATGTCTAATCTTACACCACAAGCCCGAGCAAAGCTGCTCGAACAATCAGAAACTCAGTTTCAGAAATCCTATGAAAGCGCCTACTCAGTCGATTCCGTTGTGCCTTCTCGGATGTCGGTATCGACTAGTCAAAGAGACAGCTATGCAAGCGGGCAAAGTCAATACACCATAGAATATCGTCCTTTGAGCTTTGAGAAACGGCTCTTCATGAGCAAAGTGTATATGAGAAGTTCTAAGAACGTGATGATCAAAGAGCTCTCTGAAGCAGATTTGTTCTCCAAGCGAAAGGATACAGCGACAGAAACCGACCAGACTGTCACGAACTAGGGACCAATTACGTCAAAAAAACCTCCTCCCATACACGATCATCAACCAGTCATCCTCATCATTCATAAAGATTCAAACCGCCCAACTCCCAAAATAAGTATTTCCCCAGCCCTGAAAGACGCCATCATTCCACCCGATCATCGCCCCTCGAAGTCCCGCAGTGCCCAGCTCCCCTTCATACACCGTCACCGCCCCCGCGTCCATGACGATCCAAACCTTCTCCGAGATGCCCGGCGGCAGGATGGTACTGTAGACGACCCCGAACACCAGGATGAGCCCCAGCACCGCCACGCCGCTGAACATGGTGAACCAGGGCCGCCGCATCTTGACGCCGCGCCAGCGCGTGCCACTGTGCACGGTCGCGAGGATGCCGATGTCGACCAGCTCCAACGCGATTGAGATCCCCGTGCCGGCGACCGTGGCCTTCAGCCAGGCCATCTGCTGGTTTCCGGGGATCAGGATGCATCCGACGCCCTTGGAGAAGGTCTGCAGGATGGGCCAGACGTTGCAGTTGCCGTCGAGCACGGCGACGCCGAAGGGTTGGAAGATGGGACTGCACCAGGAGACGGAGGGGGCGGACTGCCTGGCGGCATTCACGGCGTGGTGGAGGCCCAGGAATTGGAGGGCGAAGACGGAGATGAGGAGGAGGGATGATATGAGAGCGACGTAGAGCGGTTTGGAGGTGAATAGGGGTGGGTGGGTGGAGCTGGTGGGGGCAGTGGTAGATGCAACAGGGCTTACGGTGCGCATTGCGATGAAGACGCCTTCGTCAGGATCGCCGCTTTTGCCGGCTTCCTCGTCGTGAAGGAAAGGCTCTTCCGATGGTTTTACTCGGAGAGGCATAATGGCGCGTCTCAGCCGAGTGAGCAATTCATAGTCCTCGACGACGAGAAAAAGTACTTGCGCCATGCTACCGGCGTCAATGACTAGGAGGAGCGGCGTCCAGGTCAGGATCTTATCCGAGCGGAAATTCGTGGATGCGAAAGCTTGAGCTGTGATCGCAATGGTGAAAACGGTGGCGCCCAAGCACCATGTCTGCACGGCTTCCCATTTGACGACGCGGATGATCACGACCGGTATGTGGACCAGCAGGATGATGATGCTGTAGACCCACGGAACCAATGCGCCGCCTGATTAATCTTCCGTCAGCACCGTTGATACTGTAAAGCTCGGTCGCAGGATGTTGGAGGCGGCAGAAGTACGTACCGATGTCAGGACGCAGATAGGAAGGGCCATCAAGCTGCCTGATAGGCTGGTCTACCGCCTGGGCCCATGTGATGTTTGATGACGTGGTGACTGTGTCGTTGGAGTTGAGTGGGCATATATCGAGAGAAGCAGCGACGCAAGCATTAAAGAAGAAAACCCACGAGAGCACGATTAGAGTCCACATCCAGGTCATCATCCGAAGTTGATAGTGGACTGTTGAAGACACGAGGAAAGATAAGATGAAGGAGGGGAAATACAGCGTTCAGACGCAGGTCTTATTTCCATCGACCGGTGAAAACACCACGGTCTGCGCCGCTCTGGCCAGTCATTCCTTATCTTGACCGATCGAAAAGAGTCACTGACCATTGCCTTGGTGTGGCTCCCAAGATTTGGTAGCCTGGTGATAAGGGACGAAGTCTACGATGTGAGCCTGCGGAAAATGAGGGGTTCCCGCCGTTAGAGTGAGGCTGAGATCTGTGAAAACGCTGGTGGCGTGCCAATAGTGCCAATAATAGAAATCATGTAATTCCAATGTCATCTAGATGGAGGAAAGAAACACGCCCACCGATTACCTAAAGAGTATCGGTGCATAGAGCCGCATAACGGGGCATGCTAGATTGACCTGCCGGACAGAGCGTTCTTTGCGGCAAGGTCCATAAGTAGTCCGCCAAAAAGGCAATGCCTAGTACAGATAGCAGAGACGGGGAACCGTAAGTAGTGCGCCTCTCGGTCATCGATATTATCAAGGTCAACGCTGTGCTGTCGCACAGAGTACCTGAAGAGTTGAAAGGCTGAGTAGGAGACTTAGCGTGCGTGGCTGAGCTCAGACACAGTCCGAGTGTTTGCTTTCTCTTGGCGGTAGGGCAGATTCCTACACACTCTGTACAGAAGCTTCAGTTCCCTCGGGTTGAGGAAATATGCGAGGTGTCAATAGCTTTTGACCTTGCGTTCAATCGTTCCATCCTAGCTCATCCCCACATCTCTTCTCATCTAGAGCGTGGCTCAACATTGTTCGTCCTGCCATACTTGCAGCCCGGTCGCAGGAGGCAGATGCATTTCCTTCTTTTTCTGAGTCTTCGAGGTTTCGTCCGTCTCCAAAAGCTTCCGTGTTGACAGCGAGGTTCGCGGATAGGGGTACATCTCTTGATTCTACCCGTCCGGCTTCCAAGAGACCAACTCGTACACCCTCCGCCAAATCGATACCCGCTTGCGCTCTTTCTTTGCAGTCAATCTCATCGATCAGTCAAGATACGCTCCATGGTCACTTTGAACCGGTCGCAAAACTCTAACTTGTTCAAGCGCTTGTGATGCCGAGATTCGATCGGATGGGATAAACCTCATCAACCCCTGGATGACTGAGAGCAGAGGTTTCCAGATCCCTTCTGTGACCCTTTCATTAAACCTTTGCTCCAGTTTCGAGAGACGTCTCTCACCTGCACGAACGTCAGCTCTAACAAACAATCCTTCATTCACAATCTTGGTAGAGCAGATTTTGTATCGATCCATCAGGATCACCCTTTCGGGGTCCGCGAACCATGCTTTCAAGGGAGACAGACATACTTTTCACGGGGACAGAATTGGAGGCCAGCTGAAGTTCATGCCATTTTGGCTGCCACCCGGGTGGCATTTCTCCTACGAAGTCTATCATTTGTGCAACCAGAGCGTCCATACTTCCCCAGTAGTGGAACGGAAGTCCTCCCACAGCGCATGTATAAATCTGTCTACGAATTTCAGTGTCTCTACTCTAAGAAATAGAAGCGCAATGTTCTCACCACAATACCGGCACGCCATAGGTCAAGTCTATGATCAAACTTGTCTTTAAAGATTGTTTCCGGCTTTCGCAAAGTGCCAGGCTGGGCAAGCCGTTTCGGCTCTGCCCCTTGAAGGAAAGCCTCTCCGAAGTCAATGATACGAAGATCTTCCTCATCTTCTTCGGTCCAATTATCCCAGCCTACTGTCTTCACTAGCTGCTTAGGTAGGCTATCTCCTGACGGCTCGCCATCAAGCCGAGTTAGATTCTCTGATTCTGGTGGTCCAGGGATATTGAAGAGGTCTTCCTTGGACGCCTGAGACAAATGATTACATGTAAAGACAATGTTTCTACTGCTAGTATCTGCTGAAAGCCAGCTGTAGAAAAGAGAAAGAGATTAGAAGTCGCAGGAGCTACAAATACCTCGGGGCTCATCGTACTTCCATGCGCATAGCCAGCTTCGTGTATAAATGTGACGGCATCCAATAGCTGTTCAGATATCCTCAAGACTATATCTGGGTCGAGCCACTCTTCGCGGTCATCGTAGTTACTGTAGTCGCTCACGACCATATCCACTGTGGGTCCAAGTAATTCGAAGACCAGACATTGATGGTTTCCACTAGGCCCCTGGTGAGAGAATTCATCGAGTAGCTGAACGAGATAACTAGAGCTTAAAGCTCCTTTGCAAAGCTTAGCGAGGGATCGAAGAATACCAAGTTCGTGAGAATGCGTTGTTGCATCAGCAGTCAGGATCTTAATCGAGACCCATCGCATTCGCCTTCAATCATCAGTAGAGATCTAAGCGCGTGATCTTAAGATAGCATACTCCCTATCCTCTGCCAGCCAGACTGTTGAAAAGCCATCCCAGCCTAGCTTGTGGTGGAGTCTATACCGGTCGTTTTGAAAGGTGTCACCAAGACAGACCGGATGATATCCGCCATCTCGTATCTCAATATGCTCTCTTGAGTATAAAGTAAATTAGATCGATGATAAATTTCTAGTTCCTCCATGGAAAATAAAAGGCTGTCGATGGCATAGAGAAATTGAGAAACGTTTATCAGTGTAAACTCCGTTTCTTCTGTAATTACTTCGCTAAGCCCTTTAGGTTAAGATGAGCGTCTCTGGCTCATGTGACGCTGAGATGTGCCTGTCGAGAGATTCGTAGAACAAAGCCCTTAGCGGACTTGGGCGTGTAGTCTAGATTTATTGGTCTATATATCTTGTTTTTTCTTATAATTGTACAGTCAGTCACATCGTTTCCAACCCTGATGAATACCCCGTATAGTCCACTGCACCATTCATGCGCCCGACACCGATACGATTCTCTTCCAGAGGCCATCATCCACAGGCGAAAAGAACCTCTGAGTACAAGACTTCTGGCGCTCTGATATCGATCCTTGCGGAACAAGCATGGCATCTGCCACGCTGTCTTCAAAGGTACCGTCTGGGTCCAGCGCGTGCACAAAAAGAAGACGTCCGCGTCGCACGAGAGGGTGAGTGTCTCTATACTGACACATTATCCATCGGTGAGTTGGAGTAAGGCAAGTGATCTGCACTTGGAGTGTATGCGCCGTTTGACCAGCAGTGGGTGGTCCATTGAGTCTGCTGGCACATAGATTCCTAAAGGAGCGAAAGGACTTCTACGCTGAATTCAACTTTGGGAACTTGCGGCTCAATTCCTAAAGTATGAAAGCTTGATAATCGTGAATGGCTCGATGTCTACACTGCAAGCGCGTCCAGGCTTTGAAAAGGCGACATGACCACTTCGAGATCGCCCTTGGATGAGATTGAGTCAGTCGAGTGCACTCGTCCTCTTCAACGTACTTGTGAATAATATCTTGCAGTAATAACGACGCAGCTGTCACCTTTCCTGCCCATACCAACCGGTTACTTAAAGCAAGCGACTGTTGTGTGATCCATTGAACCAACACTCGTGCGAGGAAGGCACCACGGACCTTCATCACCAGTGCTTTTGCTATCTTCAGAGCCTTTTGCAGAGACCACTCCCATAGTCGTACCTCTAGATGTCGCATCTCAAGTGTCAACCGTAGCGATTGAACATAATTATCATGCGCGAGGGATGCGGTGCTGGTAGCACTTTCCAGCCGAGGACCCGCATAGCTCACCCTTCCTACAGCCATGAGGCACTCAGGCCTGATAGAGACCTAACAGGATCCTCGTCTCTGCAACTTCACCCAAACGTATTCGAAATGGGAGTCTCGTCTATATGGATCTTGAAATTTTGCATCATATTCAATACTAGTGAGCCGCGTCTCTGCATGCTGCCAACAGCCGAGTCTAATCAGCATCCCTGAAATCGCGTGTTTATTTGGGAGCCAGGGTAACACATGAGTGCGGACGCCAACCACTCTTCCGCTTGCTTGAGATGGCCAGTTCGCAAGAGATGATGACCATAGAGAAGGCGATATTTGGGTGACACCAGTGTAGATGTATTTAATGTTCCAGAGACCAGAGTTGGAATCATCTGGAAGTTGGCAAAAACACAGCAAAGAGCCGCACGCTCAATTGTAGAGCCCGAAGACCAGGCACCCTCAACCCAGTCCATAGCAAATTGAACAATGTTACTGGCCAAGGATTTCCCGTGCGTTGCCCCGCAGCCTTAAAATACTCAACCAAGAGGTATCCGATTAGACCGTTGGCCCGGCGTTGTCTTCTTCCTTTCCAAGACAAAAGGCTTGTAATGCGAGTGGTGAGCGGCGTCTTGATTCTGGAATCGCCACTGGAAATGACTTCTGTTAGCTCTGCAGACAGCAACATTATCGCCCAGTCAGAACCGTTCACGGAGGATGGCCATGCTCTTGCAAATAGCATGAGTTCCTCATCCCCATCTTGGTAGCGGTGCGTCAGCACTTGCAATACCAGCGCTACAGTATAGCCTTTAGCATTCTTGAGTATGGTCTGATTAATTCGCAAGGTTTCGAGTGCGAAAAGACGAGCATGTTAATAAAAAGCCTCTCTGTGTCGTTCTACAAGCGGAGACACACCCTTGCTTGGCATCTCTAGAGACACATACAGCAGGTCCATGATGATACCCTTTCCGTCCGAATCGCCCCACAATGGGACCATCAAGTGTGTAATCATCACGGTGCTAGAAGTGCGCCAGATTCGCTCGTCAGTGTACCATTCACGAGTGAAGATGATCTTCCTGTTGCAGGTTCAACGACAAGAAGACGCATTGACACAAGTCGTTCTTGCAGGGCATCAATACCGAATGAGTCAGAAGTCTCGCGCACGAAAGCATTTAGGAAGGAACAATCCGTAGGTAAGCTTGCATCGCCAACAGCCCGAAAAATTGGACCGATCTCACCACTCAGCCAGTGATTCCCCGACAGTTCGAAAGAAGCTCTCAGTGTAGCGAGCATAATTAACTCGCGCAAAGGCACCCCATTCGGTCCATAAAGAGACGGAAATGCTAAAAAATTTGCTTCGTCACGGGTCGTGGCAAGATATTCACTGCTCCATTCGCTGATGGTCTGTCCGGTCTTCGATGGAGACGGAAAGAATTTGTAACTGGGACTCTCAGTAAACAATGAGACCTCAACAGGCGTAGGTCTGATTGGTGCAGGAGGACGAAGACCTCCGACTTCTAGCTGATGCTCCTCTTGTGTGTCCTTGGTTGTGTCTTTTACAGCTTTGTAGGAGGAGCGAAGAGTGCGAGAGAATCCTAATGCGATGTTTACGAGACCTGCTATACTTGCTGCTACGGATAGAAGATCCATCACAGGCTTGACGTAACACGTCTGCTGCTAGATCGATTCCAAGGGTTCTTGGCACCTTTTGTTCGCTTCCTTGAGTCTTACTATCCTTGACCATAGGCTGATTTGCAATGTCAAGAACCTTTTTGCTGCTATTCTCTTATCAGCACGCTCCAGCCTTGGTGCGCACTATAGACAGGTCGGCGATGCCAGCAAGGGATGATCTAAGTTACTTCTGGCATCGCAACCGCTGAAATGGCTAGAGTGGAAGACATGAGGTGTTAAGTGAGGAGAGCTTACGGTAGTTGACGGTAGGCTCGGGAGTAGCTTCTCGTCTGACCAGCTAAATGACCCCGCAGTCCGAGAGCTTCCATGTTCCGGGAACGGAGGAAAGTTTCCGGTCTTGCATCAGCGGCAAAGTCGATGCTTGACGTAACGAGAACAGAAATGCGGAGAAGAGCATTTGCGTCCGCTGGCCCCGCAATTTGGGAGCAATTAATCATATAACCCACCGCGAACTCATTGACTTCTTCCCTAACAACAGATTCATCTCGTGTCAATTATTATTCGATATCAAGGCAGTGTTCTCCTATCTGAAACAAACCCTAGGTAGTCTAGCCATATTTCAATTGCCGTAAGTTGGATAGTCACGTCTGCCGATGCCAATGTTACTGACGTACTCCGGCCTAGCCGTAGAGCATCCCGCCATTATTTCCGGCAAAAAAACAGCCCCTTCGACTTCCTTGCCCTTCAACAAAAACCAATTGAAGTCTAACAACCGGTCAAAATCTGCAATCAAATCATTATCAATCATTATGGTATTTGTTCGCTCTATCTCTCGCCTTTCGCGACCTGCTTCCTCCCTTCTGTTCTCAAGGACTGCTCTCCCGGTCCAGCGGGGAGCTTTCGGCGGGGTACGAACGCTGACTGCCACGTCCCGACTACAGGTTGTTCCCAACTCCTCAGACACCCGAGAAATACTGACAGTACTACTGGAATCCAGTCCAAAGTACTCCTAGTCTTATACGATGTAAGTGGATTTCTCCGATTGACCCAAATCCTAATGACCAAAAGCTCATGCTAACCAACGAATTGCACAGGGCCATGAGCACGCGAGAGAGGTTCCTGAGATGCTAGGAACGACCGAGAATGAACTTGGTCTCAGAAAATGGCTCGAAGAGCAGGGTCACACCCTAGTCACCACCTCGGACAAAGAAGGCGAGAACTCCAAGTTCGACCAAGAGCTGGTGGACGCTGAGATTATCATTACTACACCGTGAGTCTGGCAATACCTGAGAGCAATTGACTTGGGAGTAGAATCAACCTCGTGAGAAAGAGTCACGTCCAGAATCCGTCGGCTGATCATTCGTTGCTGTCAGCTTCCATCCAGGCTACCTGACCGCTGAGCGACTCGCCAAAGCTAAGAAGCTCAAGCTTGCCGTCACCGCCGGCATTGGATCTGACCACGTTGACCTCGATGCTGCAAACAAAACCAACGGTGGTATCACCGTCGCGGAAGTGACTGGCTCCAACGTCGTGTCGGTGGCAGAGCATGTCCTCATGACTATCCTCACCCTCGTTCGCAACTTCGTCCCGGCCCATGAGCAAGTCGCGGGTGGAGACTGGAATGTAGCCGCTGTTGCTAAGAACGAATATGATCTTGAGAACAAGGTTGTAGGTACAGTCGCTGTTGGCCGTATTGGCGAGCGTGTGCTGCGAAGACTCAAGCCATTCGACTGCAAGGAGTTGCTGTACTTCGATTACCAACCCCTTAAACCCGAAATTGAGAAGGAGATTGGATGCCGACGTGTGAACGATTTAGCGGAAATGTTGGCACAGTGCGACGTCGTCACCATCAACTGCCCATTGCACGAGAAGACTCGAGGCCTGTTCAACAAGGAGTTGATCTCCAAAATGAAGAAGGGTGAGTTGAATCTTCGCAATTCGACTGCTTCTGCTAAATGGCCGCTACAGGATCGTGGCTTGTCAACACCGCCCGCGGTGCCATCGTTGTCAAGGAGGATGTTGCCGAAGCTCTTAAGTCTGGCCACCTCCGTGGTTACGGAGGCGACGTCTGGTTCCCACAACCAGCACCCAAAGACCACCCTCTCCGCTACGCCAAGAACACCATGGGTGGCGGTAACGCTACGGTCCCTCACATGTCTGGTACATCGATTGATGCCCAGGCCCGCTATGCGAAGGGCACCAAGGACATTCTTGAATCATACTTCTCCGGAAGACACGATTACAGACCACAGGATTTGATTGTCAAGGATGGAGATTATGCTACAAAGGCATATGGGCAGAGGAGCAAAAAATGAGAAGCTTGAATATCAATGTGTAAAAAGGGAACCTCGGCCGTCTGCATGTACTTAGTTTCATGAGGAAACGCGAAATACTAGGAAATGCGAAATTTTTAGATCCGATAAGTCCGGTCCAACACTCAAATGCCTACTTCTCACCAAAATTCTATGACAACTCCGCACAATAAGGATAAAAAAATCTGGTTCCTTCTTGCTACCAAGGCTTCTATATCGGAGAACCCAATTCACCGTTTTCAGGCCTTATCGGTCTACCATTTCGTGAAAATCGTACCTCTACTACCTCTTCTTCTACTACCTCTTCTTCTACTATCTCTTCTTCTACTACCTTACCTCTTCCACCTCTTCCACCTTACTATTGTTGCTGCGGTGAAGCCTTCGGGGTATCGAATGCTACTTAGATACATATGTCGCCAGATAAAAACAGGCCACATCTGAGTCTAAGGCAGGAACACCTACTATGCCAAGCCTACAGGCGGCGACTATGGTACCGTAGCAATGGTCATTATGGTAGACTATGGTAGTAGGCCATTTGAATGAGTGGTAGTGGTAGTTATGGCCATGATAGTAGTAGCCATCTAAATCGGATTTATCGGATTTAAAAATTTCGCATTTCCTAGTATTTCGCGTTTCCTCATGAAACTAAGTACATACCTCTGAACAGGCCTGTCTTTTTGTGAAACCCAGTAGGGAATGTCAATGTAGTTACACAATATGTATCAGAAGCCGAAGATTCGATGCGATACAAATTACGTCGATCGAAAATTCTGTAAGCCATTAAGCTTTGATATAAGTCGAGTTGTCAATAATTTGTTGCGTTCCCTCTATCTTCGGCTACAAACATCGGATTCGAGCTCAACCCTATCAAGACCACCACCACACCTTCGCCCCACGCCCCATCACCCTCTTCTAACGATTCACCCAAATCCTCTTCCAAGGATGTCATACCTAAGCACCTTAAACTCCCTCCTCACATCGACAACCTCCCGCTACGCCTCCCTCCGCCGCAACCTCACCTCCACCTCTGAAGACGACTCCAACATCACCGACCCCGACGACTCGCACGTCTCCCGCGTCCTGCGCGCTTACTACACCGAAAAAGGCCGCCCGTTCCCCGCATGGCTGGGTACAGATCCGCGGGAAGCCGCAAGAGCGCAACAGAAAGAGAACCCATACGTGACCAGCAGGCCCATGGGCAGTCTACGTGGCAATTCAAGTACGAGCGATGCGGCAGAGAGACCGGGGCAAGGGAGAGGGCTGAGCGATCTGTGGTCCGACTCTCCAGGCCCCGGCGCCCAGTCGCCGGTGGAAGAGCGAGGCAGTCTGCGACGAGGGCCACTGGGCGGGCGACGGATGGGTGCGCAACCGCAGCAACAGCAAGAAAGTCTCAATGTACGCCCACTGCCCAGTCAACGGGCTGGGAGCTATCAGACGCAGAATCCGGCATATGCTCAGCAGCAGCAGCAGCAGCAGCAATTGAGAGGTGGTGGGAGGGATACGAGTAGTCCGGGGCCTCCGCCTGGGAGCTCGGGGAGTGGGAGTGCGCAGGAGAGGTTGAAGGCGAGGCTGGGGAGGGGGAGCTCCACGCGGTCGGTGGAAAGTGATGATGGGAAGGGTGGGCAGGGGCAGGGGAGTTATGCTACGCAGGGTTTGAGTGGATGGCAGGGGAGGAGGTGACGAGACGATATCCGGAGAAGTATCGGTGGGGTTGTAGTTAGGGTTCCGTGCCATGATCTTGAGTGGGGTGTAGGGTGTCTTATGGAACATATGAGGAGTCCGAGAGCCAGTTGGATTTGCATCAAATGATTTCACGGGCTCTATTCGTTGTAATAGTGGAACATTATATGCATGACTGCTGCACGAGAATTGAAACCAGCGCAGGGTAGGAACCGTGAAAATTTCCCACGCGAGGCTATTCGTGTCCACAAGTCAACATTTCCTTTGTCTTCTTCCCAGCTTCAGCGAGCCATTGCGCTGGTTACTTTCTGTCGTGGCTCTTCTTCGAGTGATGTTGCAGCTATGGCGCCTCTCCGCGCTCGGGATTCTGCTTTCGCTGTTTTCATTGATCCTTGGGGACGACACTGCACAACATGTCCTTTCTGAAAAAGCCAAAGTCTCGAACGATTCGCTGCTATGGGGTCCTTACCGGCCAAACTTATATTTTGGGGTTCGACCGAGGATACCGAAGTCGTTGCTGACAGGGTTGATATGGGCGAAGGTGGATAGCTTTCAAGGAGTGCAGAATAGTATGTGGCTACAATTTTTAGGAAACAGCCCGGGTTCATATTTGCTGACCAAATGCCGATATAGACTTCCGGCATACCTGCGAACAACATGAGGGTATGGCTGGATACGGGTGGGACGAATACGATGTGCGGTATGGCGGGCGCCAAACCATACACGATGCGGGCAACTCAATAGACATTACGACCGAGTTCATTAAGATACCAGGAGGACAGCATGGTGGCAGCTGGGGCGTCCGAGTCAAAGGAACACCGAGAGAAGACGCGCCAGCCCGGCTGATGAGTACCGTGCTCTTCTACGCTGGAATGGAGGGCTTCGGGAGTCTAAGTGTGCAAAACGAGAGGGACGATCTGGGGATAGTAGGGCCTGTGACAATGGAAGGCTCAAGCAATGAGCTGGGAGACTTCAAGCTCCAAGTCACCGAGGGACCAAATAGCAACCTGCATCCACCTCCAAACCACAAGAGCTATGAGAACAAGCCTCTAGATCGAACAATGGTTGCGAGTCTGCAAGTACCTGAAGGAGCCATGTGGCAGGCTAAATGTACGTCAATCCACAATCCACGTTTTTTTGGTACACGTTAGCTGACTTGTTGCTTGGTTGAGTGAAGCACTCATCTTCTCTCAGATGAAAGAAGAGATTGATGCCATGATCGCTGAGTATGGACAGGAGAACGCACCACCACCTTGGGCGACGTTCACAGTAGGCAACGACATCAAGGAGGGGAATATGCATGTTGTGCAGAAGGTCTTCGAGGGTTCTTTCGAGGTCAGCTGGTGCTTCGGGGTCGTTGTTAGATTTTGTATTGACAGGCAGCACAGTTCGACATCATTTATTCTTCAGCGTCCGCTGAGGCGCCTGTCACGTGTAAGCCAACTTTCAACACTTCTTTGCACCAATCACTGACTATCAGAAGCGGACGATCTTAGTGGAGCCATCGAGAAAGCAACTACCCAATTCGCGCACCGTTTCAAAAAGCTACTGGCACCCCAAGCTCCTTTCAACAAGTCGAAGTACCAAGACTTCGCCAAATCTATGTTTTCGAATCTCATCGGAGGTATCGGTTATTTCTATGGGGATTCCGTCGTGGACAAGTCATACGCTCCCGAATATGAAGAGGAAAATGAAGGTTTCTGGCAAGAGACCGCAGAAGCTCGTATGCGCCAAGGAGGTGTAAGGCTTGAAGGACCCTCTGAGCTGTTTACGAGCATACCATCTAGACCATTCTTTCCTCGGGGTTTTCTGTGGGATGAAGGGTTCCACTTGATACCCGTCGCCGACTGGGATATGGACCTGACGCTAGAGATCGTTCGGAGCTGGTTCAACCTTATGGATGAAGATGGATGGATTGGGCGAGAGCAGATTCTGGGTCAAGAAGCCCGCAGCAAGGTGCCCCAAGAGTTTCAGGTCCAATATCCACACTACGCCAACCCTCCCACGCTATTCTTAATCTTTGAATCCCTGATCGACAAGCTGCAAACGAAGTGGCCTACTAAGGGGCTGGACGACCCTCTCGAGTCTATTCGCAGTGCTCACTTGCAGAATTCTGATGTCGCTAAGGACTATCTGCGCGATCTTTACCCATTACTAAAGCGCCACTACTTCTGGTTCCGCAAAACCCAATGGGGCGACATCAAGTCCTATGACCGAGAAGCGTTCTCCACCAAAGAAGGCTACCGCTGGCGAGGCAGAGACACCCGTCACATATTGACCTCTGGCCTGGACGACTACCCTCGGCCGCAGCCACCGCATCCAGGAGAGCTGCACACCGATTTAATAAGTTGGATGGGCATGATGACACGCTCAATGCGACGAATCGCTGAAACTATTGGGGAAACCGATGATGCGAATGAATTCACAGGGTACGAGACAGCAATTGTCAGGAACATCGATGACTTGCATTGGGATAACAAAGCAGGGACGTACTGTGATGCGACCATTGATGACTACGAGGAAAGCGTACGTATTTGCCACAAGGGATACATATCCATCTTCCCATTCTTGACTGGTCTTTTGCCACCGGATAGTCCGAGGTTGAAGGCAATACTGGACCTGATCAGCGATCCTGAAGAGTTATGGAGCGACTACGGTCTAAGAAGTCTGAGCATGAGCGATGAATTCTATGGGACAGACGAGAACTACTGGAGAAGTCCGATATGGATGAACATGAACTACCTCGCCGTAAAAAGCCTCTACGTCAGTCAAGACTGTTGCCTTTAAGTATTCCACAAACATCCCACTAACAATACCTAGGACATCGCAATCCAACCCGGCCCTCACAAGTCCCAAGCAACCGAAATCTACACCTCCCTTCGCAAGAACCTCGTCGAAAACGTCTTCAATGAATGGGAGCGGACGGGCTTCGCGTGGGAGCAGTATAACCCTGAAACGGGCGCTGGGCAGAGAACGCAGCATTTTACGGGATGGACGAGTTTGGTGGTGAAGATCATGGCGATGCCGGATCTGAGTCGGGGTGGCGACGGGAATGGGGTTGAGCATGGGGAGTTGTAAGATAGATACAGTAGGTGTTCGGGTAGTGTATGTATAGTAAATTTTGACCCCCGTTTTGAGATCGTTTAGGAGGGACGATGCTGGATCTGTTGCGCGAGCGCATGGCAAGATGGGTATGCGAAGCTCCTGGGACGTTGGGAGGAAGATACGACATACTATGCGGCGCTTTGACCCTTTCGTGCGCCAACGTCAAAGTCTACTGGCATCGTGTATGAAAGCCTCGACTCCGCTGGTACACGAACATG